GAGAAGGGAAGGCCCCGTAACCACCCCCAGCCTCAGCAACCAGGCGAAAGATCTGGGGGCTGACACTGCCGAAGACTGCTGTGATCCAGGCACTGTGCCAGGTGATTCAAGTTTCTTGTCAAATTTGATCATTGCCGCCAGTGAGGCTGCCATTGCAATCTCCCTTTTATAGGTAAGAAAGGAGGCTCAGAGGGCAAGAGTCAGCCAGGGTCACGTGGTTCCACGCGGTGGTGCAGGCCGGGCTGACCCCAGTGTCCTCTGGTGATGATGCAGACATTAGTGCTGTACAGAATTTGCCCCCCCAGGCAAGGCAGCCCCTGCGAGCCTCGGGGAGGGACGCTAGCGTGCTCTATGCATTTTCTTACGAATGAAGCAGCTTTAGTACCTCAATCTATGGGTGAGGAAACTAAGTCTCAGAGACGTTCTTTGTCGCTTCCCAGACACAGCAGATAGGGGCAGTGCTGGGCTGGTGTGAGAGGGAATTCACAGTGTTTACAGCTTTGGGATTCTGCCGGCAAAGCTGACATGCCTATAGTCACATCAAAAGACAAAGCCAATTCCACTGCAAGGTTTTCGTTCAGAAATCTTCCAGTGCCACTCACACCATGCTCAGATAAACGAGGGCTTGTGGGGGGTCACTGGGAGCAGACCCAGACACACATTATATGTCAGAATCGCTCTTCACTAAGAACATCTTTGTGTTTTGTGTAGGTTTCCATTCTGTCCTATGTATCTTCTGTGCCTGTGCTCTCTGAGCAGTTAGAAATTGCTCTAGGATGTCATAAATCAAAGTGGGTACCTTCCTGCCTTCCTCTCTCCCTCAAACAAATGCTCCACTTCATGGGAAACTGCTAAGGAACATGGCTAAGATCAGCTAGAATATTTTAAAGAAGAAAATTGTTTCTCCTGCTGTTCCAGCATGTCACCAAAAGGTCAGAAAAAGTATATAGTAATTCCTGGGGTAGATCGAGCCTCTCTGTGTGCCCCAGTTAGAGTGTTCTGTGTGCCAACTAGCAAATGTCAAAGGCACTAAGGAATGAATTTCATGTTTTTTTTTAAAATTGAGATACAGTTGGCACATAACATTATATTATTCTCAAGTACACGACATGGTTCAGTATTTGTATATATATTGCAGAATGATCACCACAATAAATCTAGTTAACATCCAACACCACACGTAGTTACAGAAACGTTTTTCTTGTGATGAGAACTTTTAGGATCTAGTTTCTTAGCGACTTCCAAATATACAATACAGTATTATCAACTATGCTGAACACTACATCTTAGGAATTCGTTATTTTATAACTGGAAATTTGTATTTTTCAACTGCCTTCACCATGTCGCTCACTCTAAACTTCATTTTTTTTTTTTTTTTTTTTTTTTTTTTGCGGTACGCGGGCCTCTCACTGTTGTGGCCTTTCCCATCGCGGAGCACAGGTCCCGGACGCGCAGGCTCAGCGGCCATGGCTCACGGACCCAGCCGCTCCGCAGCATGTGGGATCCTCCCGGACCGGGACACGAACCCGTGTCCCCTGCATCGGCAGGCGGACTCTCAACCACTGCGTCACCAGGGAAGCCCCTCTAAATTTCATTTTTTAAGTCCGGTAACAAATTCTTGCTTTTGATGGGCTGCTGGGTGTGCCCAAGGTATGTGAAATACAAGACCGCCCACTTCATGGGTTGTTTTACACTAACATGCCCCTCTAGGGTATGTAATCAGTTCTCTACTTAAAAGTTTATTCTTTTGGCCTTACTCATGTTTTCCTTGACTTTTTGTTTTCTAAGTCCTCTCTCACACCTATTAACTGTCCCTGACCCCCTCAACAGAAGCTCGCCCGGGACAGCCTCTGTGATGGATGCCAGCCCAGGGCATGGCACACTGTTGTAGTTGTTTGATGAATGCATGGCACTTGGATGGGTATGAAGTTGAAGACCACCAGGCTGGACTCGCTGAAACGACACACATGGACCAGTGGGAATGGCATAGGCGACAGCTCTAAATGCCAGGACCCTAGGTCGGGAGTGTGAACACCAAGCGGTGTCAAGCCCAGGAGCCAGCCACAGAATACAGTGCCACAGTGCTATGTAGACTCTGCGCCATGACTCTCCCCCTGCCTGCCCCCCTTTGGCTAGCACAGGCTGCATAGGGAGCACCCCAGAAGGGGTGTAAGGGGGGAAAGAGCAACAGAGAGAGAGGCTGTGGCCACAGAGACGTTAACGGGACCACTGGGTCAATTGGCTGGCTCCCGATGGGCACGTGTGCACTTGGTTGGGGAGGGAGGGAATGGATGGCACTTCTAAGCCCAGGGCAGGTAAAAGGGCAGAGCTACACCTGCTGCTATACGAGGTAAGGCAGCAGAAAAGCAAGGATTTTCTGTTTCTGCTTTTATGGTCCCTCCCTCAGGCCACAGGAAGAAGGAAGGGCCCTATCCTGAGAGGGTTTGCCTAGAACCCAGCAGGATTCAGGTGAGGGAGGGTCCAGGTGAGCTGCTGGCCAGGTGCCTACAGGAACACATTCACTGAGACATTTAATATTCCCCTGGCAACAGCTCCAGGGAGTTTCCCAGGAGTCTCTGGGTAACCAGATAGCCCTGGCCAGCCCCAGGTTGTGGAAATTGATCCCCAGGAGTGGACAGGATGGGAATGGCATTACTGTGCTGCCTGCTAGGCCATGCTGGAGGGCAGGAAAATCTGCCCCCCTCCCCAGATGCTGGGTGCTACCACCAAACAACAGAAATGCAGGGCCCAGGGGCTTTTCTTACAAGGACTTTCACGACTTCTCTGCAAAGGACAGGAATTCTGGGGCTCAGGAAACCTGTATGTAAAGTCGGCATTGGGGGTCTGTGGACAGTGTCATGATGCTGGTTGATCACAGTCCCTCAACAAGCGTGGTTACGTGTCTGCTGAGGTCCCACTGATCTAACATCAAACATCATACCCCTGCCTCCCGAGCCCCGCCACTGTGCAGATGCCCAGGCCTTCTACGTCACCCCAGGGCAGCTTTCAGGCCTCTCCCTTCCTATGCCCCTAGTACTCCCCTGTGGGTGAGGGACCTGGAAAGCTTTTCCCAACTCCAGCCACGCCAGCAAAGCGTGAAGAGCAGACAGTGAGTCAGTGCAGAGCTGTGGGCGAGGGCTCTGGGTACCACAAGGTACACTGGACATCTTTGGATCTCCCTGGCATGGCAAGTGGGATGGTGGGGGGAATGGGTGTGATCACCTATAAACTCCTAGGCCAGGCTGAGCAGAAGTGTGGCTCGGGCTGGTCCAAGGGAGCTATGGAGACTGGCCAGGCAGAGAGCTGGTACCACTGCCCACCCAGGGCATAGGACATTTCTCCATGAGCAGCCCCTGGGGTGGGGTGAGAGAATTAAAGAGCGAAAACATCCACAGGTGAAGTGGGAGGGCTGACCTCCTGGCCAGTAGTGGGAGTGGAGGGGACCCACACTGTCTACTGGCAACAGTGGCAGGCGGGGGTGGTGTGGAGGAATGACGCATGTGAGCTCCGTAACCCTTCCCTGCTCTGCTCTCTGTCAGAGGGAACCACGTCTCTCAAGCCCCCCTACCTCTGGCTTCCAGGTAGGTTTGGCCATTGCAAGGCACCTGAGAAGGACAGGAGATCAGGAGAGTGGTGGGCGTTCATAACCCGCTTTCTGCTCACTGTGGCACTTCTGCCAGCAGTCGCATCCCCACTCAGCCTCCCGCTCCCACCTGTGAGCGCCCTCTCTCTGTGACACCCTGCTGTGCAGCCCCAGCCCCAGGAATCCCACCCTCCTCCTGCTGTCCTCCCCCAAGAGGTACGCGTGGCCTGGGGGTCCCCTCCACCTCTCTGATATTCAACTCACGCCAGGCTTGCAGGCCTGGGTGAGCTCCCAGGTCTCTACCAGCTTTGTGGGGTTTTTTTTCTTTTCTTTTTTTTTCAATCTTTCTATTTCATTAAAAGGTTTATGATCAAAAACCAACAACCAGGGCTTCCCTGGTGGCGCAGTGGTTAAGAATCTGCCTGCCGATGCAGGGGACACAGGTTCGAGCCCTGGTCTGGGAGGATCCCACATGCCGCAGAGCAACTAAGCCCGTGAGCCACAACTACTGAGCCTGCACGTCTGGAGCCTGTGCTCCGAAACGAGAGGCCGCGATAGTGAGAGGTCCGCGCACTGCGATGAAGAGTGGCCCCCGCTTGCCGCAACTAGAGAAAGCCCTCACACGGAAACGAAGACCCAACACAGCCAAAAAAAAAAAAAAAAAAAAAAAAAAAAAAAAAAAAACCAAAAGCAAAAGATGCCTCGTGATCTGATCTCCCCCGCTGATTGTGCTATATCCTGGTGTATCCTCTTAGCTTCTGCATCTGTGACATGGGATGACCAGCCTTGGTTCTGGATGGGATGGTTGTGAAGGTGTGATGGGTTATGTGGGCGGACATGAAGGGAGGGTGCCCCGTGGAAAGGCTGAGTCGGGGGAGTCTTGTGGGCAGCAGAGGCTGTTCTTGATGAGCTCAGGGAAGAAAGAGAGCCTGGCCAGAGGGGAGGACAAAGTGCAAGGGCCGGAGACTGGCAATCTCTTCTGAAATATACACATACACACACATTCACACGGACACACACTCTCATACTCACACACACACACACGCACACTCACTCGCCCACACATTCACACATGCGTGACGCCATCATCAGGGACCTGTGTCAGAGGGAGCTGAGGCACCGAGTGATCGGGCATGTACACTCCCAGCTCCACTACTTAAAAGTGGGGACAGACCCTGTGACTGTGAGTCGCCATAACTGTGACACTCTCCTTTGTGCTGCGCTGGACACAGAGCAGCCACCAGCCCCAGGAACAGCTCCAGGCTGGGTCTACACCGGACACAGGAGCAGGCAGCCGGTGGACCGCGAAGGGGTGCCGAGGATGGAGGAACGTTGGGAGGCTGGGCACAGCTAATATCCTGAGCTCCCCGTGCCCTTGACTTCTCTGTGGGCTTGAGAAGGGCCACCCCACATCAGGATGAACTCTCCTTCGGGGACAAGAGCCCCACCGGACCCGGCCCAGGAATCCAACGGCATAGCCACCCCAGCTTCCCGCAGCAGGTGGGACAGCTACTGGAGCAGCACCTCCAGCCTGGACCACCCTCTGCCCATCAGCCCCACGGTAAGCCTGCGGCGAGCGTGTGCACGCAGAGCCTCCTTCCCGCTCCCTGGTGCTCTTCCTAGGGGCACACGGGGGCTTTGACAAGGTTCCACAGCTCTGCTGTGGGACCTTGGGCATGTTACTGAACTTCTCTGAGCCTGTCCTACGTAAAGAGACCAATAGAGGGGAGTGTGGCAAGTTTTCCTTCCTTGTGGAGAGCATCCAAGGAACAAAAAGGCCAGCCCTGTGGGCCAAAGGGCTGGAATGGCACGTCCATTTCTTTCTGAGGGTAGTAGGATGCCCCCCAGAGCCTTTCAGAGAGGAAGGCCTGCCCTGGGCCTCTGGGTTTGTCCCAGCCCAGAGTGAGGTATTTGGTGCCTTCTGCTGCTTCCCTCATCCTAGCCAGGGCCCAGGGCCATACCCCAGCAACCCCACCGTTAACTGGGGAGGGATGAGGGCACCCTCAAGACCATGGGATGCTGGCCTAGGTTCTGGACAGGATGGGAAGGCTCCAGTAGCTACGGGAGCCAGGGCAGGACAGAAATTAAACCACTCCCTTCCCTGGCAAGGAGCTGGGGTGGGAGGAGTCTTTAAAGCCTTTTGTACTGGCCTCATAGGATCATGACCTCCCTACAGTGACCTAGGAGGCCTGAATTTTCTTTTTAAAAGACAATTCTTTTTCTCACTCTCGCGCCAGGTGTCAAAGTCAGCCCTACCCAGTTATATAGTGGGAGAGTACAACCTCCTTCTCTGAGGCTGGGAAGGATGTGGGACTCCTGAGAAGAGGGGCTCCACCCCACTCTACCTCCCCAGAGTGAAAGGGGACTGGAATCCCATTGCTGACTGTCTCGGGCACTTGGGATGGGGCCCATACAGAAGAGAGGAACGCACCCAGGAGATGGCTCTGCCTTCTCCCCAGGGA